TCAGGTTGCTTAATTTAGACATAGATCTCAGTTCGATTCCCAGGTGACACACGTCTAAAATCAGTTTGGAGTGAAGACCACGTACCGAAAAACGCAGCATGGGACGTCCACCCACAAGGTGGACAGACGCCACGACCTCATAAAGGTAGCAGGAAGAAGCTGGATGCAGACCGCTACCAACCGGGCGATGGGAAATCGTTGGGGGAGGCCTATGTTCAGCAGTGGACGTCCTGTGGCTGAAATGATGATGATGAGACGCACCTAAGCCATTTGGTCTAAAGTCTTTATACTAGGTCTGTTGTACACGGCTAAGGGTGGATTCACCAAACAAGAGTAAATATTAATCTCAGAATAAATCGTTCTGACATGTTTCTCATGAAACTGTCAATGTGTCAGTTATACCAGGAGTTATTCTCGGATAAAAGTTTGGTTGAATCGGGCCTAAAATATAACATCTTACTACCAAATTTTCAAGAGCTTCCCAGTACAAAACCAATTATCTCGATTCAGATAGGGCTCAACATTTTAGCAAAGATCAAATAACCCTGAAGTTAGCCCCTTGATTGGCTTTCCTCGACGTTGAAATAAGTAAAGCAAGTTCTATTTAATCAAAGAGTTAATTGCGCTAAGGCATTTTCTATTTACGGATACCAGTCTAGAGTGAGTAATCGTTCTATCGAAATGACCCTTGTGAATACGGATTAAGAACTGTTTTTCAATGGGATGACTTCTAAACGTCAGCGAGATTTTGACTGTGTCAAAATACGTGAATTAGGTGATCCGTCTGCTCGTTTGCCTCCTGTCACATAAAAAAAAAACTTAACTCATTTAGTCCCTGAGGTATGGGAGCGTCACGGGAGGGTGATTTTGTGACGGTCAAACGTCAGCGAGACTTCAGATTTGTATGCTCGTTACGTCATAATATGTCAATGTCACTCCTCCCGTGCTGCCCCATGCCTCATGCACTGCCTGATAAAAGCGCTTGACCTATAGATTAAGCGCAGATTGCAATCTCTAGTCGTGGATACATTATTGGAAAGCAGGTAACACCAATCCAGATTTGACGAAAGATCGATTATTGAAATCGGGCGTAAGGCTGAGTTGCACCACCTAACTTTGACCGTCAGTATAACAGATTTTTGACGTTTGTCAAAGTTAAAGTAAAATGGTGCAACCCAGCCTAAAACTTTACTCAATAAACGCTGTCGTATCTAATAAAAAACTTTGCAAATGAAAGAGGAATGGCAAAAAAATATAAAAAATGAAATAAATTAATTAAAAGTTACCGGAAACGTAGAGCGAAAACGAAGCTCTGAAAAAGATAATTCTAAAAATAAGATAAAAAAATAAAATAAAACAGGATGGTGGCGTTGATCGTCAAATGTCTTTTTCGTGAAAATTTATGAAAGGAGCATTTCAGGAGAGGAAGGTTCTTTATAAGAACTTGATTCGCCATCCGTCTTCATTTTTAATTCAGCCACAAATGAATGTGATCCAAGAACTCTGACTTACGAGGCTCATTCAGTTTATCGTTATTTTCTGCGCTTAGGTTCATTCTTGTTAAATTCTTTACAGGAAAAATGTAATAGAAATGTACGAGTAAGAACCAAAATCAGCGCTAGATACTATTAAGAGTAGGCGCACACCGTTGATTTTTAGTTGGCCGATAGTTGTGCCCGATTTTAATTTGTATGAAGAATCGGCCAAATCGAATCGGCGTAGTGTGCGCACTCCCATACATGCCCATACTGATCAACTGCCCGACTAGACTATCGGCCGATAAAAAATCAACGGTGTGCGCCTACTCTAAGTAGAAGTTCTATTGGTGTGCAACAAATATTACTAGCTATTTATATTAACTCGCCCATTGACTATTAAGACATTAATTACACAAATCTACGATGCTTAATTTAAGAAAATACACCGTTTAGCCTAGGCGCAGACCACCGACTTTGAGTTGGCCGATAGTTGGGCCCGATTCTGATTTGTATGAAGAATCGGCCGATACCAAATCGGTGTAATGTGCGCACTTTCATACATCTCCATACTGATTAAAATCCCGACCCAACTATTGGCCAATGAAAAGTTGGTGGTCTGCGCCTAGACTTAAGATAATTAAGCTCGTTTGCCAAAACAGATGTAAGATTGAATTCACTCGATATAAAAACCGCATATCAAAAAGAGCCCTTACAACATTAATAGACACCTTTTCCACAAAAAACGGCATTCAAAAAACTTCACATTTATCTTGGAAGCGATCTCCATTTTTCCTTCCAGAAATTCTTTCATTAGTCCCTCTTTGAAAATTATTTTCGTCGTACCCTCTGTATCTTTAGAAGCTTTCTTAAGGTTTAGAGTAAATTCAAAGTTGGTAACGTCATTTACCTTGTTGGCATTGGTGACATAATTAGGGTGGTGCTTTTATGGGTTCATAAGTAGGTACCTACTTATTATTTGGAAACGTGAATTAGTTAATACAGCTTTGTTTATTCATTAAAAAAAATGTAAGAAAAGAACGTGGAATAAAAAAGTTATTCACAATTTCAATCCACGATACCTACCATTCATTGAATCATGTGGCATACTCGTACATATTTCTTTATATAATTTTGAATCATAAACTAAAGACATGAAGTTTAAAATTGATTAATAAATTACGTCATGATTGTGGTTCGGTATTTTTTTGGTTGACATTTATATTCATTTCACTTTGCAAAATTACAGTAGTTCCAACAATAAAGGATCATCACCATCATTACCCGACTGCGCCAGAAGGAGGGTTATGTTTTTTGAGGACGTAGTTCTCTGAAAATTCACCCGTAAAGTTTTAAAGTGTGGTACGGATGATTTGACGGTAAAAGACAAAATGTTCAAGTGATATGACAAAGTTAGAGAAAGTTCTAAAGTGAAGTAGGAATTATTTTACCAAAAAGTTTACCTAACTTAGACTTATCTCAAGAAAAGTTATGGTTTGTTAAGAGGTTATAACAATGTTATTGTTACAGTACAAAATTGTGAGTCCTCAGTTTCTCAAGTAAAAAAAAAACAATGCGGGGATTTTCCTAACTGTGTTAGCAGTTTCAAAGATTTTGGGTCTCTCTGTTCCTGTCACTCTTACCAGCATATCGCTGTGTGTAAGTGGGATAGAAAGATCAGACTATTTGGTAGTGACATTGCCTGATGTGATTGTTGACGAGGGTAAACATCGAAGATGATTGATCTTCGCCATATTTTGGGAGTCATTAGCCACTTTTTTGTGACGGCTAGTTATAATTATTTATTTATGAAAAGGATCGACTACGCTGTAAGTCAACTATACCTTCAACCATTATCTACACTAATTTATAAAGAGGGAAGCTTTGTTTCTTTGTTTATTTGTACTGTATAGGCTCTGAAACTAATCGACTGATTTCAAAAAATCTTTCATTATTTCTGATCAACAAGCGGTACCTACGAATTCCCCAGGTCAGCCAAGAAGTAACTAAATTGGTATGAAAAACGGGTCCATTGATTCTTTACTCGTAAGGAACCTCATTAAAATAGTAATAAATAAAAACAGTTTTTGTTTCTCTTCCTTTCATCCAACACAACAAGAACAAAACATCTGTGCGTGTTTTCTCTGTAATCAATTCCGTTACATGATTTCCCAATTGATGTATATTCAACCATTTGAACAAAAGCCGTAGGTACCTACATTTATTCTTTATCGAGATATGTCATTCCAAGCACGTATATTCCCATTGGTGAGGTGGTAATTTACCCGAATTTTCGGCAGGTTTTGCGTGTTTCGGGTTTACTCGACCTTTTCCAAATTGAAAAGCTAAAATATCTTCCGATAACATTGTTATTTGGTATTCCAATTTCAGATATTATTGTTTTAGGTACAGCTATATTAAAGTTTATTTTCACGTGTACAATTTGAAGCAGGGGAGGCTAAGTTAGATCTAAAATCAGATAAGTTAATGTTCTTGGACATTTAATTCTGTTGTTTAATTTTTAGCGTTAAGAGTTGTATGTATCTCCAATTCCATCCAGTGTCGAAGTATCTCAGTGGTTCGGCAAGCGAAAGGTCGTGGGTACCTTAGGCAGTTCAATTTAACCCTCAAATCGTAAACCTTTTTATTGGAACACTCAATTTAGCTTCTAAGAAACCCACCCACTTGTCTTTGTATAGCAATTACTTGCCTACAACGTTATCGTATTCGTAAGTAGGTACCTCAATAATAATATTATCCCTTTTCGATACATCCATAACAGCAATTCAAACTTAACAGCATCTTATTTCCAAGTAATAAGGGTTAATTTGCAACAAATATGTACCTACTCGTAAGCCCCAATCCGTGATAGGGCTACACAATCTTGTAATAGGTAATGGGAAAATTCTAGCTAATCAGATTAGTGTGGGGAAGTCGTTGATGTTAAAGGTAGATAACTGATGAATGAATGAATTCATACCCTGTTCCTCTATCATTTGGGAGCTTAACTCTAGGATACCAAACAACTTTATGATCTTTTAAAATAAGTGGTCTGTCAATTATGTAACTTTTGCTTAAATTAACATTTGGTTGGTTTTGAATACTTATCTTGTACTTAATCCGTACTACCAGTAGGACCAAAAATTTAATTAGATCTCCAATTAAAATAAGCAATATCATGAAAGTAATACCAGCTCTCTTTCTAACGCGTCAGTGGATCCAATACGAATATGTTCCCAGCTGATATGTGCCGTGAACCGAAAGACGAAACAATCCGGGTAGGTATACGTAATTCCTTGTTAAAGCCGAATATCGCTTGACTTGTATTATATTTATACTTGCCTTATATGCTTAGTTAATAGTTTGCTTAGGATGCAAAGACGACTTTATTTTTAAGAGATGGCATCAATTTATATAGCTGGTGTCCATCATAAATAGTGGCACTGTTACATGCCCATTGTAATCTTATTGATAGAACCATGGGCACTTAAAATGCTCTTAGTACTACCGGTAGGACTACAAGTAATGCTAGATGCCCATGGTCCTACTGATAGAACTATGGACAAAAATGCCCGTGGTACTACCAGTAGAACCTCGCAGCAGGGCCATGGGCCAAATATGTAAGTAATTAGATCTTCCTTCCAGAAGTCCTTTTGTGAGTAAAAACTCCAATTATAAGTGATCCAGCTCCCTTTCTAACGCGTCAGTGGATCCAATATGTTATGTTATGTCCCAGCTGATATGCGCCGTGAACCGAAAGACGAAACAATCCGGGTATACGTGATCCGTGTTAGAGACTAGAGGCTTCGTGTAAGATTAGAGATCGCTTGACTTGCCACCTGCCTTATTTGTTTAGGATGCGGTCTTATTTATATGAGCCTTGCTAGCTTTTGCTCGCGGTTTTGCCCGTAGTTACTTGATCGAATCAGAAATGAAGAGATCCGTTGGAGAACCGTGACTGACATAGCCCGCAGAATTGCTAAAATCAAGTGCCAGTGGGCGGGCACATAGCTCGTAGAGCTGATGGCTGCTGGGACAGGAAAGCCGGAAGACGTAGCGTGGGCAGGCCTCCCACTAGGTGGACCGACGATCTGGTAAAGGTCGCGGGAGGTGCCTAGATGCGCAGAACCGTCTTTGTGGAAATCCTTGGGGGAGGGCTTTGTCCAGCAGTGGACGTCTTTCGACTGAAATTAAATATCGCTTAACTTGGCACTTGGCCTTATTTGCTTAGGATCCGATGTTATTTATATGAGCCTTACTAGCTTTTGCTTGTGGTTTTGCCCACATTTCACCACGAAGAAAAATATACCTTACCTCTCAGCACAGATTCTTAATTTAATAAATTACTTCTCGGATTTTTGTGAGAATCTGTAACAGCAAGACAAGATTTATCATTGACCTCAAATATGCTGTCCAAAATAGTTATCAAAAGCTGTGTGTCGATACGTTTTAACGTATGACTCTTCGCCTATTTTATAGTCGAAACGAGGCAAGCTATACTTTTTTATGCTTTTTAATATCTATCTACTGATGCCTTTTTTAATACCTCTTCCACTATTATAAAACTAAAACAAGAGAAAGAATATAATAAAATTGGAAGTTACTCAAAAGAACTCTAAACTCAGTGTTCATAAAACTGCTATTTCATAAAGATATTTTTGTTGAGTCAAGAAATTTAATTTGATTTCTGTGGCGGTAAATGCTAGTTCTAAATGGCAAAAGTCGTAATCCGTCTGAAGTCGGATTAACGCCAAGCTGCCGCTAACGACGTTATTATAAGCGAGAATCACTCGGATATTGTTAAGCAGGGTACTCATCTAGCCGTGTAGCATGTAATGTATCAGATACTGTATCAAGTGAGTACATAGGCACGAGCCCGCTGCGAGCTGCTCGCGCGTGGTTCGCAGGGAGATCGCAGCGACCCGCCGACTGGAGCTATCTAGATACGCGATGACCGTGGACGAGCCGTACTCACTTGAAGGTTGGACACGTTACATGCTACGTTACATGCTACATGGCAGGTGAGTACCCTGCCTTAGGATCTAACCAGTCAATAGTGACAATCAATGGTGAATAAGATGTAGTTAAAGGTCGCGGGAAGCATTTGGATGCGGGCAGCGTAAGACCGGTCAAGTGGAAATTCTTGGGGGAGGCCTTTGTCCAGCAGTGGACGTCATTAGGCTGAAATGAATGGCAGTCTCCTGTCGACAGACTACCTTCATTAGACTAACTAAGACAATTCTTACAAAACAGCTCATAACACAACTTGTTTTATTTTTATTTGCCGCCGTCTGTAATTCGCAAGTGAAAAGATGAGGATGTAGAATTCAGACAAAGGGAAACGACAACCATGCGGGTATTGTAGAATGTACCTACTTATTCCACTTTCACAAAAAGAGGTATAATAAATATGATCTTGCATTATATTTTATCTCTTTTTGTAATAAAACCTATACATAATTAAATTCTCCAAGAACGTTGGAGTCACGAGGCTTCCTTCGGTTTTTGCTGCCTGAGTGCATAAAATAAAGACAGCATGAATACAGAATTCGTATCTTATGCATTATGTAAACACATTAAATCTATAAAATTACGTCTTGTCTTGCTTGCTACTGCAAGATGGTTTGCACGAGCCATAAAGTAAATAAGGTATTATTTCCACTGCATTTTTGTAGCAGAAATTGTATACAGACTTAAAAGAAGCTATCAAGTATAAATTCTAATTCTGTCTGAGGTAAAATAAATTAAAAGTAATTTTATTAAAAATACTCAAAATAGAATTATTTTATAAAAGCGAAAGGTCGCTGACTGACTCACTTACCATCACGAAATCTCAGAAACTACAAGTGCCAGGAGTCTCGAAATTTGCATGGTGGTCCCTTTTAGAACATAGGTGGTCACTAAGACAGGATTTTGCAAAATTCAACCCTAAGGGGGTAAAATGGGATCCACGCGTACGAAGTATAATATACCTACGTAGCTCTTTTGCTGAAAGAAATATCAACTACAATTATTATTTCACGTACAAACTTTGTAAAAACAGTGTTTATTCTAACGTCCAGTTTAGTTTCAGGTGTAGAACCTCACAACCCTTTCCTAGAACTAAAACTTAATTGTTAGAGTATGCTAATTGCCTCACGCCCCTTCATTAACTTGCAGCGAGGTAATTGTTGACGGGGTGGTTTTATTTGCTACCGCTTTCTTGTGGTGCAATTAGACAGTTAACTACAGTGTATTTACTGCCTATTGATTTCATTTAAACCATAATTTAAATAAATAAATTCGTTCCTCTATCGCACCATAAACTGTTCATAGCAAAATCACACAGGCCACAAAAGTGCAAAAGGGCTTTTAAAAGCCTACTTGAAAAATAAAATGAGTTTTTACATAAGTAGCAATAAAATTTTAAAGATTTGACTTCTTTTCTAGAGTAGGTATAAAGTCCAAACCCTAGAGGTATTAGTATCAGTACCATATCCACAGGCGCAACTATTATTTCAATAGTACAGGGCACGATAATTTGTCTTTAGGTTACTTTCATTTCAAAATAAAACCAGGTGCCCTATAGTAGGACCACCCCCGCTCCTTCCATGGATGTTAGGAGGCGACTAAGTTACAAATATGCGAACGTCGGGCATCCTCAAGCTGTCTGGCTAGCGTGGGGAGTATGGGTCTTCCTCATTTCGGCTCCTCAACCCATCTGGCTAGTGGGGGGTAGGCCAAATCTTTCCTTTCGCCTCTCGTAAATTAGTGAGGGTCGCAAACCTGCAGTGTCAAGACCTATGATGATGCTATTGCTAAGCTAGTCTCTCTTTTCCAGAGCGGTCGGAGGCGCTCAGTGGTCGGCTGTCAAAGTCAGCGTCAGAGCTGTCATGTGCGGCGCCAGCGCCGACATCGCCACCGCCACGCGCGAGATCCGCGCACCACCACGCGCCGCTGTCTGTGGTGCACCGCACCACGCACTTCTTCACCAACTTAAAAGTAAGTTATAAATAAATATTTTTCAGCCATTTATATAGGGACCACCACGCACCAACGCCTGTGATTCACCGCACCACACACATCTTCACCAACCTTGTAAGTTATTTGTGTTGGAGCTATCATTTCACCACCGCCACGCGCGAGATCCGCGCACCACCACGCGCCGCTGTCTGTGGTGCACTGCACCACCCTCTTCTTTACCAACCTCAAGGTAAGCTAGAGGTCTTCTGGCATCCATAAAGAGACCGCATCAGACACTTCTGTCAGCTCCAGAGCTGTCATGTGCGGCGCCTGCGCCGACATCGCCACCGCCACGCGCGCGGTCCGCGCACCATCACGCGCCGTTGTCTGTGGTGCACCGCACCACGCACTTCTTCACCAACTTAAAGGTAACCTAGAGGCCTACATGTAGGCATCACCAAGCACCACACCACTTTTTTTTTTACCAAACTCAAAACTATATGAGATAAGCTACTGGTCTTTTTCGGTCATATTATAGGAAGCGCACCACATTCTTCTCTCTCTTATAGATCTTCTTGTGCCATCTATAAGAGACCACCACGAACCTTCGTCTGTGGTGCACTGGTGCACCACATCCACATCTTCTGCCATATAGGCTGAAAACTAAATCCATACATTAAAATTTGTATTATAGTATGTAGATAAAATGATTACGAAGACTACGCTAACCCTTTTAATAACACATGTATCTTGATAGAAAGATAAGTTATTTAATTAAAAACCTTACGAGTACTCACCAGTTAATAACATGAGTGCTACGCCAAAGACTGCAGCTATTTTGTTCTGTGTCCATTCTATTATTAACAATATCGATTATTTAGATTATTTCCGCACCATTTCCTCGAATAATACTACACTGTTAGTAATAAATAATGTGCAGATACTCTGTAAAGTCGGCACGTAATGGCCTGGAATATCGTTTATGGCGCTTCATTGGAAATCACTTAAATGCACTTTGTATTATATTGTATAGAATGACTATTGCTAGGTACTATAAACTCTAGGCAGTTTGAAAATGCAGTACCTATCGTTTATTTTGTATAAAGATTGAAGAATGTAAAGTGAAACTGCTTTTCGTTGATTTGTGTTGTGATTATATTTTTATCGTAGTTCGTATTTCACGAGCTTTTACACGCAGATTTGGATTTTCTCTATCACAAAGAGTCTGAGTGTGCCTCGCTTCACTGTTACATATTTTTATTTTGAAGTTTAAAGCTAAGTTTTAACCGTAACTATAACCATAACCGGTGTTTTTTGTATGGAGTTTGATAGACTTTTGACGTTTGTTAAACTTAAAGTAAGATGGTGCAACCCAGCCTATGCTGTACAGATTTAACATCACAGAATTTTAAATAGTAAGTAATTTGTGCCCTAACGGGCGAGCTTGTGATATTATAAGCATGAATGAGAAACTCTATTTCTTTGTCTCCATAATAATGGGACTACCTCCCACCTCTCGTTCCCACCGCTGCAACTCCTGTGTAGCCAGGTTCTACAGCTTGACCGCCAATAAAAACCAGTAAACGTCAAGTTTGTCCCGGGCGAAAGTAAACCTGTACAAACCAGTAAAGGTCAAGTTTGTCCCGGGGAAAGTAAACCTGTCATTGGACCTGTAGAAGTTAATCAGAAAAACATAGGAGGAGTAAGAGTATACAGGGTGGAAACGATAAGTGATCTCACTCGATTATTTCTAAACTATGCAAGATATCGAAAAACTGGTTACTGATCCTGAAAGTGCTTAACGAGCTCTATCCAACGGTACCAATAATAGGTTACAAAATAAACGGGATCTATCTGAAAATTCAATGTTTCCAGCTTCCATACATTTAATAAAACCACTTAATATTAAAAACTATACAAGCTATCCAAAAACTGGTTACTGATCCTAAAAGTGCTTCATGAGCTCTATTCAACGGTACCAATAATAAGTTACAAAATAAACTGCATCTATCTGAAAATTCAATGTTTCCGACTTCCATACATTTAGTACTGCCACAGTCATGGCACTCATGTCTTGATAATATTATAGCAAGTAAAGCCTAGAACCAATGTTTTCCATGAATAATTTTAAATAAGAATGCAATTTACGAGTTCATTTTAAGTGTTTATTATTTAATAAAAAAAATCAACACTTTTAATATTGTGTGACTGGCATACATTTAGTATGGAGGCTGAAAACATCGAATTTTCGAATAGATCCAGTTAATTCTGTAACCTATTACTGATACCGTTAGAAAGAGCTCGTGAAGCACTTTCAAGATAAGTTACCAGTTTTTCGATATCTTGTGTAGTTTAGAAATAATCGAGTGAGATCACTTATCGTTTCCACCCTGTAGAATTAGCTTCCTTACAGTGCAAAAGTTTACATACTGTTATGGTAAAATTTTCTCTTGTCTCCAGAGCCGATGGCAGCGCAGTCGCAGCCGGGAGCGGTGCCCGGCCGGCACTGCCTTCTCGCTGGCTCCAGGCCCGGACAGCAGTGGGACGGAGTATGCTGCAGACCAGAGCTCAGAGCACAGCACTCCTGCGCACTCGCCCCGGCATAAGGGGAGGAGAGGTAAGTGGATCTTTATTTTTCTCCACAATCTAAAATTTTACAATATAAGGCGGTGTCTTGCACTTGCAGATACAGAGCACCAGAGCTGTCCGCTCTCGATGAGATTGACTATAATCTAAGTGACCCAAGTGCATTATGATAGTGCTATAGTTCTGTCCTGCTGAGTTAGCATGAATAGAATCTTCTCATGACATTATATCGATTTTAAGTGACAAATGCTTATCGTCTAAAATTCACGATTCATGCTGAATAGAACTCACAATGGTACTGGTAATAAACAGACCACAACCGGTGGCGGCATCAGACTATATTAATTGACCCAGTTAAAACATTTACAACAGAAGTACAGGACAAAATAGTAGGTAATGTTGTGCTAACAGGCTGCCGCTCAGCATTTATCGAGATGTACTCAAAAGGGCCTAAAAAGAAGCTAGTCTTCTCCGGACTGTTGTTGGCATGGCCCTGGTAACACCCCTGGTACTACGGGTGTCTATGGGCGACGGTAATCACTTACCATCAGGTGATCCGTCTACTCGTTTGCCTCCTGTCCCATAAAAATGGCACATCCTTTACGGTGGTATAGGTGTACCAGAATCTCATGGCAAATGGGGAAAATAAACTTTGTTGAATGCAATACTGGGGAAATTGGATTAAACGATCTTGATACTGTTTAATTTTTTATTTATGACTAATATTAATGAACATGAAGTACGAATGCCTACCTATACATTTTAGGTATGTGTATGAATAATGTTGTTATACATCGGGTTTTTAACATAGAAACATGTCTTGAAAAATAAGTAAACCGTATATTACTGTAAATAATTTTATTATGTGTCATACTTATAACTTATCACTTCATTCAGAACTAGAAAACGATTCTAAGAACTCCACTTGCATTTCTTGTTCTTCAATAGATGATCAAGTTAAAGAGGTATTTATACAGGGTAGAATTTTGTAATGGCACCTGGAGGGAAAGTACTCTTAATACTGAAATTTTACTGAAAGAAAACATTCCTTTATTTTTGAAAAAAAAAAGAGAACTGCATTCAAAGATTTTCGAATTTTTTTCGAAAATTCTCTACTATACTTACATACAATTTTCTGCAACATTATTCAAATAATTTAAGATTTCATGGTTTTCCTTTCATTTGATTTATCAAGTTTGTTAGAGAGTTTTCATCCTTATACTTAACCCTAACGATCGATGTTATAAAAATACAGGATGTAATTTTTAAGAGATTTTAGTTGGTTCGATTCCCGGGTGTGGCAAGCAAATTTTTGGAAATCTTTGAATGCAGTTCTATTTCTTTTCAAAAATAAAGGAATGTTTTCTTTGAGAAAAAATGGCATTGTGGTGGTGGCTCACAAAATTTCACCCTGTATAATATAAAGCATTTCAATTACTCAAACTTGCTTGATGAAATCTTTTTCAATTTTCTTTACATGGTCGTAACTTTTTCACTATTCCTCTGCACCAATGTATGAAATACACCTGAAAACCCCGATAAAGCAGCTATTAGGTAAGAATAATATAAAAATAAACATGGGTTATGTTTATTTTCCTTCCTTCCATCCTTCTGACGCGGTTAGGTAATAAACTAAATGTATCAAAACATTTCACTCCAACTTACTGTCAACTCAACGACGCGCTTTAAAGTCAAAGATTGGCTTTGAATTATGCATTATTTTACAATACACATTGAAAACAATATGATTTGCTTGAGCTTTTTCGAATTTTTCACAAAAATAACAAATAGGCATGAAGAGATTACAAAATTTCTGCAGCGGCTGACAGATCTCTTGATTTACTTTGACAGATGACAATAAAGCCATAGACAATGGCCATATGAAAAACACACTTTTCCAATATTTTTGTTTGCCATGAGATTCTGGTACACCTATATTCTGAGTGCATTCTGTAGCTCTATTATGTTCTAGCATGAGCGTTACAATATGCAAGAAAGGATTTTTTCCTGGCGGCTTGGTGACTGGAATTGAACCGCCACCGGTGCAGACGGAGACGATGGTGAATTGTCTGCACGTGAAAAAGAGGTTGTCCGGCTTGCAGAAATTTATATAAGTTACCGTTCCTTGTGTGAAATTAGAAAATGTAAATAAAACAGCTCCCTCTCAATTGACACAATTTATTTTTATCTCGTATGCTCGTATATAGTTAACAATTACGATATTATAATAACTACTGTAATAGTGCCAATCTCAAGGGATTCAGGGTCGTTAATTAGGTTCGGTTTGGTGAATATTATTGCCACTACAAATTTCTTAAAACTCAGCCTAAATATTAAAAGACTCTACTAGTTAAGATAACTGCGCGATGTCAGGTCGGAAAGACTCCTACTTGAAGGATGGAAAAGTGGGTACCTTGGAAGCCATGCGGTTATAAGCCGTTACCCTGAACGTTCCTCTCTTCTTCCGGGGTCCAACGGGTCTCGCACACTTTTAGGTTACAAGCAGCGTCCTCCACGGCCTCAAGCGCGCAGTGCCAGATGAAGCTCTTGCATCTCTTTGACAGGTAAGCGTTCAAACTCTTGCAGAGACAGAGGTTTGATGACAAGGAGGAAATGCGAAGAGATCAGCAGTTAACCCAACACTAACATACAATCATCTTTCATACCTCTCTTTCATACCTGTAAGCATCAGTTTCAAATTATACTGCTTGCCACCTGCATTCAAAATTCCCCATAGAGTCCCAACTGTGAACCAGTGGTACTCGAATCCCCATTAACGTTGTAAGGCTATTTCGGCCATTACGAACATATTTTCTGGAATAGCCATCCAGTGGGCCCTAGGGAAAGTGTATATTTCAACACATGTCGTCCCTAGAAAAAATGTCTGGGTTAAAAACCACAGAACAAAAATGTCGCTGGCCACAATATAAATTGGACGTCATCGCAACAAAACACAAAACACAGGGAATAGTGCATAAAAGCACATGATGTCATCCCTGGAAAAGACAAAACAAACGAGGCATGTATATAGGAGATACATAGCACTCAAACAAAACAAAACAAAAACACAGAGATAAAATCTCTGGAAAAAAAAATATATCTGAACTTTAAGTTACAGGTAAAGCAAAACTGTAGCAGATACCCGACAACTCGATTGTGTCCAAAAAAAAAAAAATTTTTGCTAAAAGAATCTACCGTTAGTAAACTCAGCCTAAATATTAAAAGACTCTAATAGTTAAGATAACTGCACGATGTCAGGTCGGAAAGACTCCTACTTGAAGGATGGAAAAGTGGGTACCTTGGAAGCCATGCGGTTATAAGCCGTTACCCTGAACGTTCCTCTCTTCTTCCGGGGTCCAACGGGTCTCGCACACTTTTAGGCTCCAAGCAGCGTCCTCCACGGCCTCAAGCTCTTGCATCTCTTCGACAGGTAAGCGTTCAAACTCTTACAGAGACAGAGGTTTGATGACAAGGAGGAAATGCGAAGAGATCAGCAGTTTAGAAAGGAGAAATATTTCATACGAAACGAAGAGAAATTAAAATATATGAAATATCATCAAAATGTAAAATATGAAATCTATGAAATTTGAAATTGTAAAATCTGAAATTTATGAAATATAAAATTTGAAAATCCCAGCATCTGAAACGAAAAACACGAGTGTCAGGATCACATGTGGAACGTGGCATTAGGTTATGAAAAAAAGAAAAAATAAATAAATTCTCCGACGGGAACTTACCTCATGTGTGTTTATTTTAAAAATACATTAAGAAATTATCGTGGATGCATTCTGCATTCCACGATTTGAAACACAGGGGATTACATCCCCGAAAATAATAAAATTGCGGTTGCGCAAGATCGACCAAAATTCCAAAGTGATTTGACAGCTCAACTGACAGCCTGCGAGTCATCGACATCGCAAGACGTTTCGTTTCGCCGCTTAGGTAAAAAGCAAATACTAATAAAAACCATGATGAAAACAATCTCCTGAACACTGAAAACATTCTATTAAAAAATAGAATAATCAAAACAAAAACATTAGGAAATGTTTCAATAAAATATATTTGAATTGACTGAGCAAAAAGCGCCATCTATTGCAAATTAATTCAAAATCACGCCAATAGATGTCGCCAGTGGTATCCTAAATCCAAATATCGAGAAGAAATATCAATTTGTGAAAACAGCCAAAATTGCAACGCTACAAATAATCGATATTTGGGCGTTTATCAAAATCGTTTTCAAATGTAGTAAAAAATGTATATTATCCCATAATCCGACGCAGTCAACGAAATTACTTTAGTTGGTGACTGGTCATGCTAATGGAAAGTCGTTTTCGATCTTACTTTTAGAAGCAAGTTCCCTTCTTGAACTTTAGTTTGAAATCAAAGTTTTGAAGAGTGTCTAGAGAATTCTTAAGAAAGTTTAAGTCATTAACGTGATTCCTAAGTAGAATGCAAAGTGACTTGAAGACTAGTTTGTTAACTCCCGACCAACAATTTGAAAAGCTTGTTAATTTGAACGCACTTACTTATCTCAGAAACTACTGCACCGAATTCAAAAATTTTATTTTTCAAACTAAATTATAAATATCTTGAAAAAAATCGAACTGCCTAAGGCGGGATTTTATTGTGTTGGATAACCCATTCATTGCGGAAGGCTACATAATACACTACGACCAATACGAGCGAAGCATCAATTAAATATGTTGAAAACGGGAAAAATATTCAAACTATTTTCGGGCCTACGAAATAGCGGGTACAGCTAGTACACATTTTAAATACGATAATGCTAGCTTATTATGCTACTACTAAGCTACTATATTTATTCCACGAATACAAGGTAGGTAATTGTAGTACACTATCATGTTGTAGATTAACCAAATTAAGTCATTGCGTGTGCCGCTCCTTTCTTTTGTAGAACACACGGAATAATTTACATTTATTGTTCTAATTGGGCACACAATGTGCAGGTTCCGGTGTAAGTTTTTGAAACTTACGGTGTTAAAGATAAGGCCGTTTTTAGAAGCTTAGAGCTCATAGCAGACTAACACTAGCAGACTCGGAAAGGTATCAACAACGTATTGCCTTTCGCGCGCTATGTCAATTGCGAGGCGAGGCGTTTACGTTACGGTGCGGATAAGTGCGTTGCAGTATGGAGTTTCATACACAGAATACTATACCTTTCTAGGTTGATAAATGTGCGACGTCCTTTAAGGGTAAAACTAAAGCTACTTACGACATTGTCTTGTTCGTTCGTTCGTTTCAGCCGAAAGACGTCCACTGCTAGACAAAGGCCTCCCCCAAATGTTGTGCTTTCTCGATAAAAGAATTTGTGATAATCTGTAAATCTTTCAAAATACCTCAGTTTCTCTTTTTATAGAGTCTACAGACTTAGAATATATACATCTTAGCCAGTTTCTGTATGTTCCCAATGTAAATATCTTTATTTCCCTAATGAAACATTAAAGTTAATTGTTTCTAAAATGCCACACAAAAATAATGTCGTCAATGAAAGTCAATTAAAGTTCTCGGAATAAATGTTAATTTGGAACACAACTGTTTTGCTTACGAGAACTTTATTTAAAGCTATTATTAAGCTGATAATCTGGACATATAAAACTTTAATGATAATTGTTGCTCTATTTAAAGCTATTATTAAGCTGACCGGTTAATGGTTTTTAAATACACTGGACAAAGGTTGTAGGGTAATTGTTTGTTTTTCCAATAGAATTTCGAATTTAATCGTCTTTACAAACAAATTACGAGTAATTGTAGATCATAGATCGTATAACTAATTGTATTTCAATTAATAAGTTGTTGCGCTGGTGTTCTTAGAATTTTATTTCTTTGATGTGTGATTAGAAATTAGTTCAATAATAAAAGGATGAGATCTCTAATCTATATCTAAGGCATTTGGTTGATTATCGCCCTTATTCACAAACGATGCTTCAAATCGAACGCACAGCGTTTAATGATTGAAGTAATATCTCAATGCGTTGAATAGAGCTCTGTGAATGGTTCGTGTGTCACCCTGTGCGTCCACGCGCACTGTGAGACCTCATAGTAATGTTTGTGAGTATGGGCGTTACAGTATTTTAGAGAAATAAAGGGCTATTCCTACCTCTCGTTAACCAAAATTAATCAGAAGGACATAAAAGGAAATAAGATAATTAAACATCACCTATTCTTAACCTCCAAACGTAAACGTGATGTGCGTATAAAAATGTCTTTCCAAGACATACATTTTAAATCGAATGATATTTTTCTCCGTTCAACCCATAATATTCACGGTCCATTGATTGATGTGAGCCGGGCAGTAGAGTGGGTTCATCTCTTGTAGGAGCGGACGTGTTCTCGTATTGAAGAATGAATGAGGCTGGGTTGCACCATCTTACTTTAACTTTGACAACCGTTAGAAATCTGACAAACCCCATACAAAAAGCACCGGCTATCGATAAAGTTACGGTCAAAGTTAGGTGGTGCAACCCAGCCTAATTAATGCCCGTTTTCACCATCAATTCCTGACTTTTAAGTGACCTCTATGCAAACAAAATTCCTGTTATATGTTACCATAGGGTTCACTTTAAAATTAGGGATTGATGGTGAAAACGGGCTTATGACATTTATTTTTATTAAGGCCTGATTTTTCAATAGCCGGATAGCTTTTAACTGAAGAATAAATTTGGCATATTGACAATTTCAGTATGGGAAATATGTCAAAATTTCTGACGGTAAAAATATCTTTACAGGTAACGCTACAATTGATAGTAAAGGGCACTTCTTCGAAATCGCATTCTTCGGCTGATTCATATGGACAAATTTCAAATTCAATTTTAGGTTTGTAACATAGACTCATATGAAAATAGGTACACCCAATAACATATATTTGGATAAGGGACTCGTTTTTGTAAAGTAGTTTTCAAGATATCGACGTTCAAATATTTTGTGCCCATATGAATCAGAATTTGTTACATATTAATCAAAAATAGAAATAAAATTTATAATGTTTATGTACAATTGGCTCTAAATTAAGAAAATAATCATATTATAACAAAAACAATCATCTGTTGTTACGAGAAAATGCAACGATTCCACAATAATTGGTGAAAAAACATTTTTTTGAAACTTTAGTATACATCCATAATATTATGTCATCATCATAATTATTTCAACTGAACATAAACCTCTCCCAATGATTTCCATAATGACAGGTGGGTAGCGCCCTGCATGAGGACTGTTGCCTGTGGGAGGACGTTCTACACTGAGCTTTCCGGCACGTGGCTTCCACTCTAGAAACGTGCTATCCCATCGGCCATCGTTTCTGTATACTATGTGTCTTGCCCATTATCACTTCAGCTTGCTAAAACATCGGACTATGCCACCATGTGACTTTAGATCGTTTACGGATCTCCTTATTTCAGATTCGATTGCATGAAAAAAAAACCAGCATAGTCCACTCCATAGTACACTATGCAACTTTGTGGTTCGTAAGCCTACAGTGAGAGGCCGCTTTTCAGTACAATTTGTCATCACTGATAACACACACTGGATGTAGACTTTCATCTTATGGCACTAAGGTATTTTAGATGACTCTACCGAGCTGTATCACTTATCCAAGCTATTGTTGTTAAGACGTCCACCTACAAGGTGAAGAAGGTGAGATGAGCTTATAGAGGTTGTGGCAATGGCAATCAGTTAATCTCGAAATCATTGGAGGCCTATGCTCAGTAGTATATTATTATGTGCTATGGACGCCTTAAGTGTAGCTGAAATAATTATAAAAATAAATAAATCGTTGGGCAATTTCATACAGCGCCATTTAGCCACAAAATAAGCAACAAATTATGCTTGTATTATGGTTGCTAGCTTAACGGATATGACCTAAGCCCTAATGATTTCTATACTTTCCCTAAAATAAAGAATAAATTGCGTGGTCAGAGATTTTCATCACCTGAAGAAGCTGTGGAAGCCTACAAAACGGCCATTTTGGAGACCCAAACTTCCGAATGCAATGGTTGCTTCAATGATTGGTTTCGTGTATGGAAAAATGTGTCAAATTTCGCGGAGAATACTTTAAAAAGCAATAAATACATTTTTAAATAGTAATGTTGTTTCACTTCCTTGATTCCCGAAATTTTCAGTGCCGCCCTCGTATACTTATCAAAAAAACACATTTCTTTTCATTTGCTTCGCTACGAATCATTACTTACAACGCCTACGATATTCCGTAGCGCCGTAGTCAATGCTCGTAGCCTGCCGTAGCCAGACCGTAGCACCATCTCTGCAGCGGCGCTGAACTAAAATTACAGCTACAGCGCCATCTATTGAGCGAGTGGCGAACTGATTTACATCGTTTGTTTTGTAAGGTTCCTGAAACTTGCAATCCTTGCTGAAACTGAAGTTTAGTTCCTTGGTTTGCGTTTAGGAGGCAGAACCAGTTAGTAAAAGGCTTATTTGAAGCTCTCATTCATGATTAAAATAAATATTAAATTCTAGTTATTACTTTGTTAGTCCGATAAAAATATGGAT